TTGATATAACGAATTTTTTGAACAAATATAATAAAAATACTCTTGTTATAACGAATTGGCCAATCAAATCTCTTAAAATCTTCACTATAGACTTATAGTGAAGTTGAGATCTAAGACATAGAGTTCGTTATAACAAGAGTTGACTGTAGATATAATTAATAATATAAAAGAAAGAAATAAATATAGTTAGTAAACTATTAGTATTTAATAATGTTAGAAAAATAATATTCAAAGAAATAAATATACTTGATAAAAAGGAAAGAATAGAAAAGTAAGAAAAGTGAGAACGAAAAAAATTAAAAAATAAAATAAACTTTTTTTTTTTTTTTTTTTTCAGTAGTCGATATATCCAAATGAGGTCATGAATGGCGAAGGAGACAAACACGTGCAAGTCATGTAAGAACCTTACTCTAGGCCGACACTATACTGGGAAGATCTTGACTGACTTAATTATCAGCCCTAATCCGCATCGTACTACTAGTCAGAAGATTGCCACCTAGGTAGACATCTCCAAGAGCCTTACCCTCAGAGTTCCACGACTTCCGAACCACTATCACTTTTTTTGGATAGAGGGATTACTTTCAGCTACAGGTACTTTGTCAATTTTCCCTGTATTTACTAACACCATATCTGGATCACTATTACTTCTGCCCAGTATCAGGGTATTCTTACACATGATCGGAAAGGCTTAAATGTTATCATCTTTATAGAATCTTAGAAAGGTAGGTGGCTGTCGCACCCATATCTCAAAATCACCCAGGAATTGAATCTGGCCTTTATCTTGAATGACAGTTTAATTGGAAGGTGCTGCGGTAGTACAATGCAGTCTATTATCACCTTAGCCACCCGAAGGTAGTATCCAATCTACTAATTACTGGTTAACCATTTCCTTACTTGTGTAAGGGCCCCTGAAATTGAAGACGTGAGACAGTACCCATTATAAGCCTATTAGCGAAGGCTAAGTTACTGTCAATCCTTGGCTTCATTTGCATCCACTTATTCTGTAATTTCAGTATTTAGGCATGATTAACGCCGATTGACAGGTCGATCGACCAGTTTCTAACACATATTAGTATATACGCCCACATATTCAGTTACATATGAAATTCTTATGAAAATCATCTAGTCTTATACCTCGGCTGAGACTTGAACCTGTGGCTATTGCAGTGTAATCCACAATAGGAGCTCAGTTATTGCCAACTGAACTAGAGATGCCAATTCCTAAAAAATAAAATAAATTTTCTTTTTTTTTTTTTTTTTTCAGTAGTCAATATATCCAAGGAGGTCATAAATGGCGAAGGAGTCAAACACGCGCAAGTCATGTATGAATCTTACTCTAGGCCGACACTAACTGGAAAGATCTTAAATCGCGAATACTTTCTTAGGCTACTATACAAGGAAACAAAGACAATGGTCAATATATAAAAGTTTTTATTTAACAGAATTCCTCTAATAGATTAGGTCATAAAAGAATGCTGTTTGCCTTCAGGATAGATTTGTATTTAATTATATTATAAGGGTTATAAGGATGAAAGGTTTACATTTTTTTTTAAAAAAAAGACCTTAAATATATCATAAATAATAATGTAAAACTCGGAAGGAATGTAAGAAAAAAAAATGAAGATACATTAAAACGGAAAATAAATAACAATAGCAAGAAACGAAAAAATTAATAAAATAAAATAAAAAGGATTACTTGTTACAATGATGAAAATCCTAGAATATTTAGGAATCTCGGAATCTGAATCAAATTTTTAGGAATCGGTTTATAAGCTTTGGCAAAAAAAGGCGAACAAAAATCATTTATAAGGTAGTACAATGATGGCTTGAAAACAACCTATCTTGATAAATAGTTAGACTCTTTCACTATTTTTTTTGGTGAAAAAGGTCAAATGAATCAATTGGTCATAATATATTTTGTTCATTAATTTGTTTATTCCTTACCCATACGTGTAAAAATAATTATGGTAAATATTCAATTGATGCTAATGTCTTAAATTAACGCATTTTCTCTTCGATTTGTGACTAACAAATGCGTTAATTTCCAAAATGCGTATTTGGGATATTGATACAACGATGCTAATTTGGGAAGTTTGCTATTAAAATCGAGAAAACATATGATCCGTGACGCAACCTCACATTTTACTTAGAAAATTCTTAGATCGATATACAGTAACCTCTGGCCATGTCTCTTGGCCAAATTGTCCTTACGACGGATTTTCTCTTGGGGAATTAGACAGATCATTCTCTACTTTTATTATTATATTTAACATATACTTCCCTTTTTCCATTACAATTTATTTTTATTTTTATTTTATCTCTCCATTTTTTTTAGTTTAATTATTTGGAATTTTAGAGCACCAATGTTAGGCAACGCTTGATAAATTAAAGTTTATTAAATAATTAAAAACCTTCTGCTTGAAAAAGATTCTAACTCAAATAATTTATATAGTATTAGAATAAATTTGTTATCTTCAATCCAAAATTTAAAAAAAATTAGAGATTAATCAATAAATATTATTATATAACTCAAATATACATTAATAGCAAAATTAGAGTGTCCATGCGAAAACAATTTTCTTTTAAGTAACTTATTTTGGTTAGATCTCTTAAATTTGCATAAGTAATTTTTTTTATTATTTTATATTATTTTTTTTTTAGGCGGATTGAATTGCTGCTGGATGCAGAGATCCTTAGAGGTTTTTTGTCATTTCTTCTTTTTTAATTTTCGGGTTCAATAGATTCGGGCGCAGCGAACAAATGATTTTTTTTGCGCCCTTTAAAGTTTCTCTTCGTATTGATTTGTTTACAAAGTTTTGTTTCAGTGGAGGTGGATCGTTGAAAATATGCCTCATACCTCCCTAGTTTAATAATGCAAGGGGCAAGATCTTTTATTAAAAAACAAATACAAAAAAATAAACCAATTATTACTGCCTCTAACGATGCCCTTAATAGAAATTCCTCTGAATTCACCTATATAATACAAAAGACAAAAGCGAGCCTATTTGTATACATAATCCTATTTATAGTTAAAAGATTTAATAACTTTCTTAAAATTAAAAATATCAATTTATCAGGGTAAATGCGGAAATGTTACAATCGCAAGATCGTCAAGGGGAACAAGGCGTAGTAATTTCTTTTAAGATATGTAGGCGCAGTTCATGACATATAAACAAACATACACACACACATTATTTGTTGGTGGCTTACAAGGCCTACTACCACCAACCTTTAAAAATAACATCTTCTTGTATGGTAAATTTTGCATGATAATTCCATGATTTTGCAAAATATTTTTGTGGGTTTTAGCTTTTATGTTTTATCAACAACATCAACCCATTAGATATCCTTTATGATAGATTTCGCATGAATATTCATGATGTTACAAAATAATTATGGGCTATGTCTTAATAACACCAACTCTTTAAATATGCTTCACTGAGCTTGGCTTTATGGTAAATTTCATACGATTATTCATGATTATGCAAAATATTTGTGGGATTCGGCTTAATATGCCTCCTTGAGCTACATTGAAATATTCAAAATCTAATTTTTACATTAATATCGTATAGAAGCTCATACATAAAATGAAAGCAATTAAATTTTCTTGTGCTTTCCTTATTATCGCCACTTTGGCAATGGTCACTTTAGTCGATGCCCTTAATCCCCAGCTTGTACTTCAACTTGTTAACGAAGAACGTAGAAATGTTGGAGCTCTTGCACTTACTTTAGACGGGTAAATTTTGTGATTTTACGTATTTTACGTGCTGTTTGTTATTAAAGGAATCTTGTATTAACGATTCAATTATTTTTTTTATTTTTTTCTTATAGTCGATTGACGCAAGCTGCTCAAGGGCAAGCCAATTATATGGCTAGTATCAACCAAATGACTCACGATAATCCTGCCGGTAATGTATTCGAGATACAGGTTACAATCCTAGAAGCTGGGCTGAAAATGTCGTTTTGGACCCGGTACAAATGGGGAAGCGGCTGTCATGCAAATGTAAGATTCTTATTATTATTAGATTTAAGATTCATTTAAAATTCGAGTTCTTATTAAAATCACCTTTTCATTTTTTATTAAAAAAGTTGGATGAATTCCCCGGACATCGAAAAAATATTCTTAATCCAAATTACACTAATATGGGAGTCGCATTTGGTGGTGATAAATATTGGGCTCAAGAATTTGCTAGACCCGCATGATTTCTTGAACTCGTGAACAAACCGGAGATTGCTTGAAAGTTGAATTCGCAGACCAAAATTTGTTATTTTTTAAACGAGTTGTAATATTTGAAAATTGATTTTTGATTTAGATACATTTAAATACGATCAAAATGCTCTATGATTAATTCTATTAAATAATAAATAATATAAATAAAATAAAAATTTTAACCTCTAACTTAATATACGCGCAAATGATTAGTGCAGAATGTCGTAGATAAATACAAGCTGTGACAACTTTTATAATATATTTATAGTGTCCTCAAATAATTGTTGACGATTCGTAGCCCCAAAACTGATTTTAAAAACACTACTCACCTATCTGGCAAATAATTTTGACCAAAATCTTAGTAGTTTATATTTAGAATTAAATTTATTTTGCAATACAATATATCATATATTAGTAATACTTAGAACAGGTAAATTAGATATAATGGTAGTTTTTGAGACTTTTTATAATTACCTTCCTTTAATGTAATTGAAAAGTTTTTAGCATGCCACAACATGTAATTTTTTTTTTAAAGATCATAATCACTTGACAAGCTCTCGGTTTCAGATCAAAATTTCGTCCGGCAGAAAGAATTTGATCGTGACTGTATAAGAAACATTCAAATTTTATAAGTTGAAAGTCCTTCGAAAATTAGAATGCATAGTAAGCTGCAAGGTAAGAGCACTTCTCTTTAGCCATAAATTCTTTTTTTCTCAAAAGAAATTATACTTTACGAATCTTGTATCACCTGAACGGAAAAAAAGAAGGACCGTTTTTTTGCGTTAATAAAGACTAAATGAAAATATTTGGTAGAAGAGGCAATCTGGACATTGTTAAAATATCTTATTGTTCTGAGGCCAGAATGGTTTATAAGAGAATTGACAGTATATGTTGTTAGTGATAACCCGTTTGCGTCACTAAATGACTGCGTCAATTATTATCTCTTTCTTATAATTGTATTTTATATAAATATCCTGTATTGTCGCCTTGACAAAATAACAAGTTTCCATCGTACAATTAATAAAAGTATAATCTTAACAACATAAAAACTATATCTTTGCCAATATCTGTTTCCTTAAAACATAAATCATCAATAAAGACGACCTGACCCTTCAATTTAAATAAATTCGTGTTTATTTCTTTCATAGTTTACAACTTAAACTCCCTGTTAGCAAATAAGCTTTGTTATCCTAACGATTTAGTGTTTAGACTTAACAATGTATAACATTAAAATACTATTCTGTCTGTTATTAAACCAACGAGATGACGATTATGATCGATTTTTAAACAGTAACGGTTGTATTTACTTCAAATGCCTTTTTAATAATGTATCGTATATCTGGACTTAGGAACTTGATATATAATCGAAAATCGTACTCAGATCCGAGGATTAATGAAATTTCCACTATGATTGAAAATGAAATCTTTAAGTAATAAATATTTGTTTAGCCAAGCAACCTTTAATCGATCACATAGGTTAATCTACAGTGGGTGATCAAAAGTGTCCGTCACATTTTAACGATCCAACGCGATACAAATTTTATTAAAATTTTGATACTTTATTACATTAACTTTCTAAAATATGTATTTTATTTTTTGTTAATAAGAAAGTTTTGAAATAATTAACTTTTTAAAAATGCTATTAATATTTTGTCGGGAATCCTTTTTTAATTATAGCATGTACTCTTTTTGGCATACTAAAAACTAACTTTTGCAAATATTCTAAATCAATATTCAACCACTCTTCCTGAAATACTGAGACTAGTTCTTCTGTAGATTTTGGTCTTGAACTATGCTTACGAATTTTCCTTTCAAAATAATCCATACATGTTCAATTGGATTTAAATCCGGGCTATGAGCTGGCCATGGAAAAATACTTATTAATTTTTCACATTTCCAGTCTGTTACAGTTTTTGCTCTATGTACGGAGCATTATCATCCTGAAAAAAATAAACATCTTCATTGTCAAAAGACTCATAAAAGATAAAAAATGTTCTTTTAGAATTTCTAAATATTTTTTTGCATTAATATTCTCTCTAATAATTACCAATGGACCAAGTTTATCATTAATAAAACAACCCAAACTATTACACTATTACTTTCTTGTTTAACCATAGGTAACAGACAATATCATATATTTCATGTGGATTTACCAAACCAATTGTGAGAGTCATTTTGAAATAAAAGATATCGAGATTCATCTATCCAAACTATATTTTTCCATTTCTTTTTCCAATTTTTTCTTTCTTTACACCAATTAAGATGTTTGATATGATTTGTTTCTGAAACTAAAGATTTTCTAACCCCAGCATGCCCATGATATCCTAATTCATAAAGGTTACAATGTATAGTAAAAGAACTTGAAGTTTTAAGTTCCAATTCATTAAATTTTTCAGCTAGTTCATCAACAAATCATTGCCTATCATTTTTAAGTAATTGAATAAGATGCTATTTATCATAATCATTAAAAACAGGTGAACTTCTAGACTGAGAAGCAGGAGATACTAATCCATCTTTTTCCCACTTGCTAATTATATCATTTATTGTTATTTTTAGTACATTTAAAATTCTGGAAATGTCTGTAGAATTATGATTATCTTTATGAAGCCCAATGATTTCATCACGTTCAAAAATGGAAAGCTCTTTGCTTTTGGGCATTTTTTTTTAAAAAGCAACTTGAAAAAAAATTTTTTTTTAAATTCTTTAAAAAAAAAACCACATAATTTCATGAAAAAAAGTTCGTCAAATTTAATTATTTCTATGCTAATCTATTGTTTTTTTAAGTCAATACTTGACTAAAAATTATTTGATGTTGACAAATAATAGATACTTTTAATAATCCACTGTATGTAAAGTAAAAAGGATTAAAATATTTTATATATTTAATCCATAAATTATAATTTTATAATTAGTTCAATTATTAATAATATATAAACGATTCTGTGAAATTTCTATGAAAAATAAATTTTATATTGTAAGTTTTTTTTTAATAATTTTTATTAAAAAGTTATACTTACACTTTTATAAAAATGAAATGCTGATAACGCTATACTTACAAATTATCATAAAATAACAATCATTATAAGGATCATTATTGAAAATCAAACCAATCAAACTTAAGCTAATCTATTATGACAAGTGAATATATAATGGTCATCAATATTATAGATAAGTTTACCCATTTTTGCAAAAAGATTATGCAGGTTACAACCAGATTGTTTCTTTATAATACCCTTATCTTAATGCAAATAGATAAATAACTACTTTTATAATATTTAAGTTTATGTTTAAGAGTATTGAAAGTAACGCAACTACTGGGTATAATTACTTCAATAGAAGTAAGAACTAAAGTTTTCATCTATATAATAATAAATAAACGTATCAAAAGATAGTATAATAATTAAAACATATTATAAGTAATTTTAAATCTTATTCTATATACTTAACTTATTAGAAATAAAGAAAGGTAGCAAACAATATAAAAAGTAAATTTTGACAAATGATGCAACTCATCAAAGATTGAAAGTAAGAAACATACTAATAATATTTCTATAGTAAAGATATATAGGTAGGTAAAAAAAAGGATATTTAAATAGTAACAAGCTGTTTAGTAAAACCCTAGACAAAGGTTTTTTGTAAAGTTTTAAGAAAGCATCTATATGACAAATCACTAACTATTATAGAAAAAATGATTAGATTTATTAGTAAATCTTTTAATAATATTATTTAGCATATTATAACCTTTTGGATTAATAAAATAGGAACCTAACTTTAAATTTTAAAATATTAGCAACAACTAAGAATTATAAAATAAACTTATAGTATTTGTATAAATTATATAACTTTGAAGCTAATTTAATAATTTAAATCATTTTATTGTGATTTATTTATTTACTGCACTATAATAACAATACCAGATTTAATATAATATAATAAAAAATATTTAGTGTGATTTTATTAGTGTAAACCAGATTTCTAAACCTTTGAGCAACAAAATTTTTCTTTTTCTCAAAAAATTTCCTTTTTAGGCAATTCATGTAATGCTAACAACCGGCCATTATTATATACCTTATTATTACCTTATACTAACACTATACTAATAATAATACTAATACTGATACTACTACTAACACTAATATTAGCACTAAAAGGTAGAGAAGAAATCTACCTCAAGGAATAAAGGTTTAAATATTCTTTTTTTTTGTTTAAAAAAAAGATTTAAATTTGCTACAGTGACACAATCAGATATATGATAAAATTATTTTTTTTAATATTATGTATTATCTATTCCTATTTTTGATTATTTATTTAATTAATAATAAATTATATTTTTTTAATTTATGATTTTATTGGTTAGATCAGTAGATTTGCGACTTTAGTTTCTCATTGTAATGCAGCAAGGCAGTGATATCCATTTTTGATGTCTTAGAGATTTGTTGTTCTAACTATATATCCCAACCTATCACACACTATGTCCCAAATGTCCTATCTGTCCCATCTATATCCAATCAGTGTTCCATCAATGACTTATCAATGTCTCATGATAACACTGCAGCAAGGTGGTAATGAGCAGGTATTATTTGAAAATTTAAGAAGGATAACCCAAATTTTCCACCTTGTATTGGAGATTGGCCTTTAGTATACCTTATGCATCGCAAGATAAATATAAATCATAGGTATTCAATAAGCATCAAATTAATTTGACATATTTGTTAAGTTAATTATTTACTATAGGTAACAACCTGTCATCTAACTAAAAAAAACCTGATAATAATCCTAAAACGAAAGGTATGCAGTTCACACATTATAAATTTTTTTATTAGTAAAATATTGTGTTATAATGTATACATTATAGAATCCAATTAAGTATCTAAGTGTAAAGGAAATTATACCCAAAATATGGTTGCCGGGCAAAACCCCGAGGATTCAACAGGCATCAAAATTGAAACCCATTGAAACGTTTTGCCAAATTTTTTTATTAAAGGCAAAATTG